TTTATTTTGCATTATACACTCTAAAAAATGCTGGGTTGTTTCAACCCAACTTTGGGTCAAATATGGACTAACCCAACCGTTGGGTTACATTTTTACATTAAATTTTTTACCCAAAAGTTGGGTTAGTCCATATTTGACCCAAAGTTGGGTTGAAACAACCCAGCATTTTTTAGAGTGTAGTAATGAGAATGAGATTTATTTTTAGATTACAGTAATGAGCTTTTGCTAAAAAATTAGTTGAAAAAGATAAAACAGGCTTCTTTTTTAATAGTTCTCTTTAATATAATTTTTCTTTACATTTTCTTTTTGTTTAGGGTTAAATATGACCAAGACATGTTCTAGACAGGTTATATTATATTAAACTCTAGATATAACACCAGAATGATTCCCTAAAGAATTAGGAGCAATTTACAAAATATGAATAAAAGCTACTAACTGAAGTTATTTATTGAAGTTAATTATTTACTATTTTGTCACTATAAATTTATTCTGAAAAAAAAAAGTTTCTATCTGTTGCAAATGGAATTGCAAGAATAATTCAATAAATAAATAAATTAACTGTTTTTAAGCATGTTTTCTTAACACCACGCTGCCATTGGTCAACCAAACATAGTCCCGCCCCAAACTCACATAGTTGGTTGAGTTACTGTCTCAGGCTGGTTGGGATGCTCTTCTTCTTCTTCTTTTTTTTAGCAGATTTTAAAATTACAATATAAACATGACATATATGTTAAACAACACAATCTGCAATTTTCTTTTTTTTGGATGCTTTTTTAACATCTAAAAAAAAAGGCACACATCACTTTTACATTAAATCGTATTTGTTTTAAAAAAATATTTCATTAGCTGAAAATGAGAAACTATGTAATACATGAATGTATTTTTTATTAATTATTAATCTAAAGTAAATTGTTAATCTAAAGTAAATATCAAAACAAAATGTTGATGTATACTAGATATTGAAACGTAGTTGTTGTCTGTACAGTAAATGATTTGTTTCTTGTGGTCAGTCTCTTCAGGTGGAGAGGAGCTGTGCTGTATCTGTGATGCTCCGCCTCTTAAAGAACCTCTCGTAAACTGCCTCAAATGTCGCCACGGTAATATGACAAATGAAACAGTTTCGATTTCTTCTATTGGTCTTATAGTTCTTTTAGTTTTTGTGTATCAAGTAATGCGTTACTCATGTTGCATTTTTTGTTCTCGATCCATTGTTTCCCCAGGTTATCATCCAGAGTGCCACACGCCGCTCATTGAACCTGAAGTTGACCCCAACAGCTGGATATGTCGCCAATGTGTCTTCGCAGTCGCAACAAAGGTTGTAACTCGCCTCAATCCTGAAATGAATATTTAGAACCATGGACAGCGTTGTCATTCAAGGTCTATTTCAAATCACACACAAGCTTTAATCTTGCTCTGAGATGTAAAGGGTATCCATGGCTTACTGCACTTGACTGCGTATTTATTACATTGCAGCACTCTGCAGGTGATGGCGGTGGTAGAGCTGCGTTAAATGGGCCTGTGCTTTAATCCGTCTGTCAGCGCGCTCGTTTCACAGGCCTTACATGCTGATTTGAAGATAAAATCATATTCACCGACCCCCGCCCCAGCAGGAAATATTAATGACTTCCTTCAGCGTGTCTTCTCCAAATTCAATCTTCAGATGAAATCGCTGTTAAATGTGCTTACATGACAGGAAAGGTGGGATACATTGGAATGACAAGCTGTGTTCTGTCCTAGAGAGGGGGAGCGTTAAAAAGAGGACGCTTCGCACGGCTCATGCAGATCATGAAAGTGCGGCTGCCCTATCAGCTGTCATCTTTAGACTGGGACCCGCAGCACTTGACCAACCAGCAGCAGTGTTACTGCTATTGTGCTGGACCAGGAGAGTGAGTCCAACTTGTATCATTCTCACATGACTATGGAAATGTTTAGAATGGAATATTAGAGTACTGCGATTGTACAATGTGCGGGATGTGCTGCTTGGGTCTACTGATGCATGCAGTATGCAGCATTTTAGTTCAAGTTGTAGTTTGTTTGTTCATCAGAACTGATTTGGAGAAATTTAGCATTGCAGTGAATGGGTGCCGTCAGAATGAGACTGATCAAAAACATCACAATAATCCACAAGTAATCCGCACCATTTCAGTCCATCAGTTAATGTTTCGTGAAGTGAAAAGCTGTGCATTTACAAGAAAAATATCTGTCATTAAGATGTTTTTAACTTCAAACCATTGCTTCCTGGCTAAAATACGAGTCTTATATCCATAATATTGGTTTCTTTCGTGAAAAAGTCTGAATCAGGAGAGAAATATGCACATACGTACAGTCTAAAACAGCTCTAAACAAATATTTTTTGATGTGAGAGGACAGCAGCGAATGGACTTTCTTTTGCTAGAGGAAGCATTATTATGGACTCTTTATTATTTATTAGCCAGAATCAGTGGTTTAAAGTTAAAGTACTTTAATGATGGATTTGTTTCTTACAAACTCACAGCTGCTTTTCACTTCACAATGCATTAATTAATGGACTGGAGTGGTGTGGATTACTTGTGGATTATTGTGATATAAACTGTTTGGACTCTCATTCTGACGGCACCCATTCACTGCAGAGGATCCATTGGTGAGCAAGTGATGCTTAATTTCTCCAAATCTGTTCTGATGATGAAACAAACTCATCTACATCTTGGATAGCCTGAGAGCGAGCAAGTTTTCTGCAAAGGTTAAATTTTGGGTGAACTATACTTTAATATTTTGAATTAGTTGTTATTTTATATGATCCGTTTTAATTTTAATGTCAGTTAAAGTTTTAATCATTTTGTTAAGTGTTCTTGTCACTTTTATTTATTCATTTATTTTAATGTCTATATAGTTTTTTTAATTCATTTTTTAGTGTTAATAGTTTTAGTTAATTTTAACAATCCTGCTTCCTACATCCATAAAAATCACAGAAATACTATTTAAAAGACATTAGGCAAAATTATTTCCAAAAATGCTGAGAAAAATCTGTAGCGTGATTTGTTTGCAGATGCTAATTTGATATTTTGGCATCTAATGCAATGACATTCAGACATTTTAAGTGTGTTTTAAGTGCCTAAATATTTCCTGGCTGCACTGTACTGTATATGCAGAAAATGTATTAAATAGATACTTTAAAGTGGAATCACACAACTAGCAATTGCAGCAATTATGCTTTCATTTTAGTTGAGAGTGATGTTTTTTCAGGAGTAAGTGTGTCTAAATTAAAGCATGTTGTTTTTGTCAGGTGGAATCTGAAGATGTTGCAGTGTGGGAGTTGTGGGCAGTGGTTTCATGAAGCTTGCACTCAGTGCCTGACCAAACCTCTTCTCTATGGAGACCGGTGAGGCTGATGCCGTTGTTAAGCACATGCTGTTGCTAAGCTAATTCTGTCTAAACCTTTTCATCTGTGTCTCCTCTTCACCTTTCAGCTTTTATCAGTTCCAGTGCTCAGTGTGCACAAATGGTCCAGAGACCATCCAGAGGCTTCCAATGACCTGGTAAGAGCGCTGCTTCTGTTCTGTTTGCAGGACTGCAGAACTGATCTGAAGAGCTGAATGTAGTTTCTGATGATCCTCATTCTGTTGGATTGCAGGGTAGATTTGGCCCATTTGGTGCTGTATCACCTCTCCCTGTGCTGCAAGAGGAAGTATTTTGATTTCGATCATGAACTCATGTCTTTTGCAAATGAAAATTGGGAATCTTTGCTTCTTGGCACGGTAGGAAAATATAGTCAATAACACAGACACAGCTCAATTTAAAGTCAACATGAAACATCAAATGCAACCCATTTTACTTTTACCTGGCATATTTATGAATGAAACAGGATATCTTCCAGAAAATGGTTGTGTGTGTACACATACACACACACACACACACACACACACACTCATAGGAAATGTGGACATGAAATAAATCTTGTCCACATTTCCTAAAACAATGTATTTATTCATGTTGTTTTAAAAAAAAAAGTCTTGATAATATATACATTTTCGATTATAATTTTTGATATATATTGATATATATATAAATAAATAAACACACACACACACACACACACACACACATATATATATATATATATATATATAAATGAATCACATAACAAAATGACTAAAACCTCAATAAGTTAAAATGAAAACTGAAAATATGAAATATATTTAAAAAAATAAAAATATTAATAATAATTGTTTTACTGGACAAAAATAATTGTAAAATTATAATTTAAAAATAAATAAAATATAAAAATACAAAAAATTTTTGTCCAATAAAATATTTTCTGTAAAGACGTATTTTTACTCTCCATAAATGATAAATGCCGCCTGCCTCTGATTAACCATAGTAAGCAGCACATCATGATTCATGGCTTTGACGCGAAGGATATTGACTAAAATTAAGCACTTCAATACATCCCTATCTTTTCAATAAGAAATGCATCAACACAGGAAAGAAAACTGCACTGGCAGAGCTGTTTCATAAGGTTTTAAGGAAGTAAATAGGATCAATTTTGATTTCATGTTGACTTGAATGTATTCCTGAGTGTAGTTTTGAATACTCTCTCTTGCAGTTTGTGGTCAATCTGAGCTCTTACCTTTCAAATGCATTTGTTACATGCTGCCTTTCATTATATTTTCTATATTTTGGTCTCTCAGCTGTCAGACACACCGAGGCAAGACCGTTGCCAAAACCTGCTCAATGCTTTAAATTCCCACAAAGACAGGTGAGACACGGATTATGCTCTGAAAACTGCCGTTCTGCTTGATTTCCATGTGGCAGCCAATAGGGATATATCACATATTTGCAATAATATCTGCAAAACCATTACTGTAATTGCTTTACATTCTAAGTGACTCTGCAAATAGTATTTTGATAGCTGAAGGTGGGTCTGTCTTTCAAAATAAATAATTTAAAGTCCATTTCCATTTTCTTTCTGTCAAGGTTTGCGGTTGATGCCACTCATGCGCTAGCACTTAAGTAACTAAATCAAATGTTTTAGTTGGCAAGTGTGAGACGCCCAGGAACAAATAAAAATCTGTCAGCGAGCCCTGAAGAACAGCTGCTGAATAACAATCCAATCTGATTTTGCTCTGTCGTAAAGGTTTGTTTCGGGGAAGGAAATAAAGAAGAAGAAGTGTCTCTTCGGTCTTCAAGTTCGGGCTCCTCCCCCTCTGTCATCGGACCAATCACCTTTCATCGCCGAACAGCCAATCAACATCACCCACAGGAGAAGGTCAGAGACAGGAGCACACCAAGATCTTTTGATAGCAACATTAAATGCAGTTTGCAAACTAGTTTAATTGTTTAACTGATGCATTTCTGAGTAAAACAGTAAAAAGGGATTTATTGACATTTTAATGGATTGTGAAAAGTGAATGTCACATACAGTACCAAAATGAACACTTGTTGATAAATTGAGAAAAGGGATTTATGACATGAGCCAAAAACAAAAGGTTTAAGATTTTAGCTAAAAGATTATGAAGACTTTTTAAAAGAAATATTATGAATAAAAACTACATATGGTCTGTATTTATTTTATGTTGACTTAACACAAGGTAGAAGTAACTTCAAAGAAATTAAAATTGACTTGAACAAGATTCAGAGTTACATAAAATATCTCAACATTTTGAGATTTGTTTTCCTCATCCGTCTTAAGGAAAATATTTTACATTCAGTTTGTGTAATTGTTTTGCATTTGCTTTTTTGTCGTTTTACTTTTAATTCAATTTCAAATAAATTGAAATGGTTTCATGTTGAAGTCATTTATTGTCTTCTCTCCAGCCCCATGTCACTGCCCTGCCAGCGGAGAGCGGTGGGTCCGGAGGCCCGTAAATTAAAGCGCCGGGTCACTGAGACACAGGTCAGTGCGTTTGCCTTTAACAGCAGCAATCAAAATATGGCTGGCAGAGGCCAAGCCCCCTCTGCATCAGTAATGAGACACCCAGCGTTACCTTTTGGGTTTGTTTTTCTCCTCATATTCATTTGACTTATTTTTGCAACATGCACTGAGACAACAAGGTCTGTCTACCCTTGCAAGTCAACGAATGCATACGCCCATTTAGTGAAGGGTTTGTTATTCTAAAAAACTTAAAGGGGTGGTTGATTGTTTTTTTTCTAGGCTTGATTGTGTTTATGGGGTGCAGTCTAACATGTGTTAATGCTTCGTTTAAAAAAAAAAACTCATTATTGTTCACATAATTTACCTTTATTTTACACCGGTCTGTCTCTTCTCCTTTGAACGCTCCGATTATTTCCTGTTTTTATGAAGCCCTTCCCTCAGAAATACGAGATGGGCTCAGATTGGTTAGCTGACCCAGTGTGTTGTGATTCGCTACAGGGTGGTCCTTAGGGGGGTGCAACTGGTGCGGTCGCACCCAGTGTTAATTTCGTCAACGAAGACGACGACGAAAAATATTCATTAACGAACATTTTTTCTGTGACTAAGACAAGACGTTGACGAGCTAAAACTAATATCTGATGATAAAAACTATGACGAAATTTATGCCTCGTCTTCGTTAACGAGACGAGATGGGACTATAATGTTATTTGAGGACTACCGGACATTCAAAATACATCCTATAGGCTACTGTCTTGTCCTTCAAAATGTGTGTCCCTGTCATTGGATTGCAATCGGATAAGGGGCGTTTGCATATCTAGTCTCAGTATGGCAGCCGCAGTGGATGGATAGGCTACCAAAACGGGAACTAGCGATCTGAAACAATGGCCTCAGCACCCGAAGGGGTAGGGATAAGGTGACCAGACGTCCCGTTTTTCCCGGGAGTCACAATTCGTTGTCAATTAACTTAAAGGGGTCATATGATGTTGCTAAAAAGAACATTATTTTGTGTATTTGGTGTAATGAAATGTGTTTATGTGGTTTAAGGTTAAAAAAACACATTATTTTCCACATACTGTTCATTATTGTTTCTCCTCTATGCCCCGCCTTTCTGAAACGCGTCGATTTTTAC